TGGCAGCATGAGTGTGCAGACTGGAGTCCCTGCTCCCCTCCAAGCTGCCCTAACTTTCTTCCTGTGTCAGGGGTCCCAGAGATCACCCCCTAGATTTGCTGGGAGGACTCACTGGCCTTGGCATATAGTTTTACTGATGGCTATTATTTATTACAGTGAAAACTAGCAAAGGGAAAGGGGTGAAGTTCAGAGGAAGCCAGGGGTGCGTTTTGAAGAGTCCTCTCCAGTGGAGTCACACAGGTTGCACTAAATTCCTCCAGCATCAAATTGTGACAACATGTGTAAAGTATTATCTGCCAGGGATACTCATTAGAGACTCAGCACCCGGGTTTTTATTGGGGACTGGTCATGTAGGCACGCTCTGCCTAGCACCTACCAAAATTCTGGACTCCCAGAAGGAAAGCAGGTGTTCTGCATACACCATCTCATTTGTACAAACAGTTTAGGCACAGTGAGCCCCTCTTATCAGTTAGGAATGGTGGGAACCCTCATAAAATCCAAGTTCCCAGATGCCTGGCAAGGGTCCACCTTGCAATAGGCCTTTTTAAGGAGATCAGTCTCAGACCCGTGTTGTTAACTGTTTTCTGCACACCTCCCTCCTGCAGATCACTGTAGAGGACTATGAGCAGGCCGCCAAGAGCCTGGCCAAGGCCCTGATGATCCGGGAGAAGTATGCACGGCTCGCCTACCACCGCTTCCCGAGGACCACGGCTCAGTACCTGGGTCATGGGCGAGCTGACACTGCCCCTCCGGAAGAGGGCCTCCCAGGTACGGTGCTGTGGCTGGAGGTGGGGTCCCAAATGTAGGCATGACCCAGAGGTTGGTCAGGACTGTGCTGGCTGGATGCATTTCCCCCAGATGGTGTTTTAAAGGCAGGACCCTGGTATTGGCTTCTCATGTTTATTGGTTTCCCCAAGGATTGGCTTATTGTGCAATGTGAGCCTAGCCCTGTATGCAGCTTAGCTGTAAAAGTTAAGAGAGAGCGAGATGAAAGGTAGTCTCTCTGATCTCGGGGAATCTACCAGGGAGACAAAACAGTCTCATGTGGAATATTAAAACAACACAATGAGACAGTAAATGCTGAATTGGTGGTGGGGTAGGGTGGGGAGTAGGTCAAAAGGCATGTTCCAGGAACAGGGAAGTAGGCTCTAGAGTAAAACATACCTGCATTAAGATTTTGGCTCTGTCACTTTCTTGGGACCTTAGGCAAGATGTTTCTCTAAACCTCAGTGTCTCAATTTGTAAAGTGGGAATACTAATAATATCTATCCCCTGGGCCTGTTGCAGAGCCCTGGTGGTGCAGTGGTTAAGCGCTTGGCTGCTAATCGAAAGGTTGGTGGTTCAAACAACCCACCAGCTGCTCTGCAGGAGAAAGATGTGGCAGTCTGCTCCCTTAAAGATTATAGCCTTGGAAATCCTATGGGGCAGATCTACTTTGTTCTGTGGAGCCACTATGAGTTGGAATCGACTCGACGGCAATGGGTTTGGTTTGGTGGGCCTGTTCTGGCAATTAAATGAGAGAATGCATGTGAAGTTCTTAGTGCGGTTCTGGCATCTAGTGAGTGTTCAGTACATGATAGCTGCTTTTATGCTGTGGAGCTCAGGGAGGGGAGATCAGAGAGGGCAGGGATGGTTTCCTGGCAGAGTCCATTTGGCCTGTGAAGGACCTAGGAGCAGTAGAGGCTGTAGGGTAAGTAATATAATGAGGGCAACAGGGAAATTGGTGGAGGGGAGCTGATGGGAGCCTGGCGATCTGTGCCAATGCCTGGGACCCTGGCTGTGCCTGGGTATAGTTGGGTAGTGCCAAGTTATCCTCTTGTCTCCAGCTTCCTTGAAGCTCCGAGGCCTGGACTTTGAGCATCTGTTACCACCTGGGTCCCTGGGCATGAGTGTGTTGAGGTGGAACAACCTCCAAGAGTTCAGATTGAGGCTTCACTCAGTCCTTTGTAATTCTATCTACATCTCACAGGCCCTCCTACATGGCCACTGGCACATACGAGGGACTACTGAGCTGGCCTGTGGCCGTACCTTCTAGGGGGACATCAGTGCCCAGTTCTGTGCTGTTTGACTCTGCCATGACTCCTCACATCTGCTCTTATTGGCAGTCTATTCTGAGCACTAATGGAGGATGCCCAGGCAGGTCATCCGCCTTGGCTGCTTCCTTTGATGAGAATCCCAGGGTTTCCTCCAGCCTGGGCTGGCAGCTTGGCGGCTGGATTCTGTGTGGGGTTGGCTGATCTGCAGAGTTGAAGCCCCCAGTTCTATTGCTGTTTAGCATCAACTCGTTCCTTGGCCAGAGACAGAACTTATCAAGAAAACTTATTATGATAGTAATAAGAATAAACAAAAACCAAACCCATCGCCATCAAGTCGATTCCGACTCATATCCAACCCTAAAGGACAGAGTAGAACTGCCCCATAGGGTTTCTAAGGCTGTAAATCTTTACAGAAGCAGACTGCGACATCTTTCTCCCATGAAGCGGCTGGTGGGTTGGAACTGCCAATCTTTTGGTTAGCAGACTAGTGCTTAACCACTGGGCCACCATGGCTTCTTGTAATAAGAATAATACCCTATAATTTATGTGTAGGGCCTTACTGTTTTCAAAGCATTTTCCTGCACACACATTATACTCCTCACACAAGCCCTGTAAGGCAGGGGCATTATCTTTGGATGAGGACACAGGATCAGAGAGGTAGTATGGTTGGCCCAAAGTCTCACAGCTGGGAAATAGTGAGCAGACGTTTTCCGCCTCCTGTGGGCTAGCTCAGCCCGCAGCTGTGGGGAGCATACTGCTCTGTCATTAGCATTCCCTGCTTTGTAGGAGAGATGTCCCCTATTTCATGCCCATCTGGTGCTGAAGAGGGGCAGGGTTCTCATCTAGCCCCTTGGCTGCCTGGGGCTTCGGAAGATGTGGGAGGACAGGGACAATTTTTCCCACTGGGCAGTCCCAGGTGCTATCTGTTCTCTTACTGGGAGAAGATACAACTGCCATTTTTAACATCTCTGAGGGCCATGAAGCACCCTGGAAGCTGAAGCCCATTTCAATTAAATTAAAAACAAAAAAATCATTGAAGTGCCAGCCATGTGCCCGGTACTAGTCTAGTGCCAGGGGCGGTTGTAGGCAGTGGGGATACAGCAGTGAACACAACAATCCCAAATCTCTGTGCACATGAAGCTTCTATTTGAGTAGGGAAGACGTGTAATGCACAAAATGAATAAGTAAAATTATTTTACCTAGTGTTTACTGCTAAGGAGAAGAAGTAAAGCCAAGAAGGGTGATATTGAATGTTGATCAGTGACGGGTGGTTGAGTTTTAGAGAGGGTGGTCAGGACAGGCCTCGCTGAGAATGTGACTTTTGAGCTCATTTGAGCTCATGAGGTCAAGGGCACTTTGCCATCACTCAATTCTGTTTTGCAGACTTCCACCCTCCCCCACAGCCCCAGGAAGACCCTTACTGCCTGGATGATGCACCTCCCAACCTAGGCTACTTGGTCCACATGCAGGGGGGCATCTTCTTCGTGTATGATAACAAGAAGATGCTGCAGCGCCAGGAGCCCCACAGCCTGCCCTACCCCGACCTAGAGACCTACACGGTGGACATGAGCCACATCCTGGCTCTCATCACTGATGGCCCAACGTAAGCCAGCTTCCCTGAGTCTGCCTCTCTTTGCATGGGTGCTAGTCTGTTGGAAGGGGCTGGGAAAGGCCAGATAGGTCACCCCTGTTCTGCAGGCTTTCCTGCACTTAAACCATCCCAGAAAGAGTGGTCTCCCCTTTCCCCAGGGCTTTGTGGGTTTCTGCAACAATTTCCTGTCATTGTCTCTCTCGGAGCCTCCTGGGCAGCTTGCTATTTTTCAGCAACTGCCATCTATCAGCACAGGGAAGAGTAGGTAAGACAGATAAGCTGGCATATTTTTGGAGTTGGTACTACCTGTATATTTAGCACACAAGTGTGCAACTTCTGTTTGCTGGTGGCCCCTGTGCGCCTTAAAATGGCAGTTGCTCTCTCCCCAGGCAGGACAGCGGTCTTGCAAAGAGTTAACCAGCCCAGGGCACTACTGTAGATGGTAGAGAAATGATGAAGACTGTTGCTTATGTCTTGGGTTTCCCATGTTTCTAGAGGGGAGAGTGGCAGGGAGACTGGGGACTTTGTGCCATGACCCCCATGTTGCTTCGTGAGCTTGGCTTGTGATAACTTGCCAGGCAGTTGTCTTCCTGAATCTGGCCCCTCTCTTTCTTGATGAGCACTGAAGCTACTCAGCAATGGAGATTCAGCATGTCCTGACCCTGAGAGCCTCAGAGCAGCTGCGCTGGGAGTGCCCCAGCGGAAGTGAGGGATCGTGGGGAAAAGAGGCGTCCCTGAGTGGTGCAATGGTTAATGTGCTCAGCTGCTAACTGAAAGGTGCTGTGGAAGAAAGGCCTGGTGATCTACTTCTGAAGAATCAGCCACTGAGCACCCTTTGGAGCACAGTCCTACTCTGACACCCTTAGGGTCGCCATGAGTAGCAATTGACTACACAGCCACTGGTAACTGGGGGAAGGAGAGGGTGCCGGTCATGGCTGAGGAGCTTCTCTCTTGCTCCTGCCGTTTGGGTTTGGGTTGGAATGGGTGCAGTGCCAGTCTCCAAGAGAGGCAGGGTGGGATATGAGGCGAACTGGGCATCTGGCTCTTGGTCCTCACTGATTGCAGGCCATAACTAAGACCTGGCAGAGAGGGCCAGTTCCCAGGAGGCACCCAGCCAATGTGAGGAGGGGCTTTAGGGAAAGCCTTGGGAGGGAGGGGAAGATGGAGGGAACTGGCCATTCCAAGAGGTGTTTGAGCAGTGGCTTTTCTGCCTGGGAGGTTGGTGAGGAGAGTCCTGCCTGGGGAGAGACTGGTGAAATGACGTTTAGAGTCCCTTCCGACCCTGAAATTCCGTGGCGTTCCTCTCCGGGGCTTATCTTGGCCGACAGGTGATTGCGCTGTTGACAGCATCAGCAGCCGCTTTTTATAAAAGTCCAGGTGATGGAATGTGAAGAGAGCAGCTGTTTGTTTGAGGGGCACAGGGAAGAGGGATGGCATGAACTGTGGCTGAAGGTTCCCTGTGGTGTAGATGTGGGGATGTGGCTGGGCACCTGGGAAGTTGGCCACGGGCAGCTGAGAAAACCTCTCCCTGTGCCTAAGTTCCTGAGAATCTGGGGCCATGGGTCCTTACAGAGAGTTCTGTCCTAGTAGCAAACATCCGTGCATTCCTAATCTGCCTATGATGCAAAACATCCTCCTCTTATCCAAGTTGAGAGGTCCTCAGGTCTTGGGATTTGGGGTGTGGCCATTTGTCAGGAGGCGGGTACCCCTTCACTCCAAGGTGGACAGGTCATGCCTTATAGTTTGACTGTATTACTGATCTGGGCAGAAGTTAAACTCCTTTCAAGGAATTAAAGGTGGTCGAGGACAGATGGGATTCCTGGGTGGGCAAATAGTTAATGTGCTCGGCTGCTAACAGAAAGGTTGGAGGTTTGAATTTACCCAGAGGCACCTCCAAAGGAAGGCCTGGAGATCTACTTCTGAAAAATCAGCCATTGAAAACCCTATGGATCACAGTTCTCCTCTGACAGACACGAGGCCACTGTGAGTTGGAATTGACTCAACAGCAACTGATTGTTTTTAAGATAGGTGGGAGGAAAGAAGGAAGGAAGGGAGGAAGGAGGGAGACTTACTGAGCATTCATTATTCCCAGAGTTGGCCCTTTCACACACGTAAGCCAGTTTAACCTCACTTCAACCTTGGGCACTACCATCTCCATGTTTATTCATGGAAAGCCTAAGCACATAAAGCTAGAAATGGAAGAACCTATATCAGGTTCCAAAGTGTGCTCTCTACTGCCCCATATTTTGACACTTTACTCACTTTATTAAACAATCAGCTGAGTCTGTAGAAAGCTAGAAACCTCCTGCCCCGTCCCTGGCCCCCATCCTGTGGGAGCCCTGGCCTTTCCACCACGGGGTCTATCCCTGCAGACACTGGAGGTCTCCAAACTGGAGAGCTTGATTGCAACTTCTCCTCACCTGTGGTTTTTCCCCCTCCCTCAACCTGCAGGAAAACATATTGTCACCGGCGACTGAACTTTTTGGAATCCAAGTTCAGCCTTCATGAGATGTTAAATGAAATGTCCGAATTCAAAGAGTTGAAGAGTAACCCCCACCGAGACTTCTATAACGTGAGAAAGGTGCGTTAGCAGGCCAGTGTTCAGAGCCAGCCCTGCCATGGCCCTCTCCCAGCCCTCTGGGATGCCCTGAGACCCTCTGGGAGCTAGTCCCCTGTGATAAGATCAGGGCCTCTGGCTGAGGGAGGTGTAATGTGTTGTACAGAAGGAAGACTGGAGAGATGCATTCCTTTGTCTCAGGCAGGGGCTCAGACAGTGCTTGGTATCACTCTCCATGGAAACCTTTGTCCATCTCGTGTACCTTGTTATTATGTGCCCTCTTCCTTGGTAAATAGGGTGTGGCCTATTAATCGGTCATGAAATTTGAGGCCAGGCTACTCTTAAGGTAGGGGACATATTTTAAATTTATCATGGTGAGGAAAAGCTTTAAGACCACTTTGAACTTGGGACTTGCGGTTTAGCTTCCTTTAGGATCTGATGTGCTCTTATTTCTTGGCCTGGGCTCCTGGCACCCTCAGCCTGCAGTGGCAGGTGTGTGTGCTAAATGAATGTGGCCTCCAGCTTTTCCTTTTTCTTCCATTAACTTAATATACAGTGCCAGGATCAGGTCATTTGAAAGTGAGCAAGAGTCAGTTCCTGTCTGCAAGAAGTTCCTATCCTGTCACTATTAGTATGATAAGTGTGGTGACACAGATGGCTTCCAGGAAGAGGCCAGAATGAGCTGACTTGAAGTGTGAGTAGGAGTTAGCCAGGCAGAGGGTGAGGTAGGGGTATGGAACTGATGGCATTCCAGGCAGAGGGAACAGCATATGCAAATATCAAGGGGGAGAGAGTGGGGCTGGGAGAGAACATAGTGGTGCTTTGAATGGCTGAAAGCAGTGCAGTGTGGCTGGAGCTCAGGATGGGGGAGGGAGGGAGCCGAGTGGCAGGTTGTGGGAGAGTGAGGCAATAGAGATGTGTGTAGGTTCCATGTCATGCGGGGGCCCAGGGGTTTCTCAGAGAAGCAGGGGGGTTGGCTGGGGTATGGTAATGAGCTGGGGAGAAGATGATAGGGGAAGGATGAGGATTAGGTTTTATCTGGAGCTGAGTCACCGTGGGGTTGTCATCTTTATAGGGGCATCTGTCCCAGCTGGGACCTCTTGAGGACCACCCCTCCCTTGGGTCAGCTTTTGATAAGGGAACATGGGCCAAAGGAGGATGTGGCCCCTCTGGGAAAGACCAGCTCAGGTCTCCCTGACCTCCTGGCTGGGAGCACTCAGCAACCTAGAAGGAATCCCCTTCCAGGTGCCCTCACATCTGTTGAGCACCATAGAGTCTGAAATGGACTCCCACTTGGATGGGATCAAGAGTGTTAAGAAATGAGAGTTTGGCTTCAGCTCTTGGGCTATGAGAGGCCTGGAAAAGTGTCCTAGGAATTTCCAGGTAGATACTACTACCTACCTGGACAGCCTGGAAATTTTAACCTTCAAACATCATTTGTTCCCTCTCTGTGAGCCTTAGTTAGGTTTTCAATCAGGTAGGTGCCTCAGTCACTACGTGATCTCCTTTCAGCCCTGCCCAGAATGCACCTTACATGCCCAGCACATGCCCAAATGGGTGTACAAGGAAAGTCCTCTCCCAGCCTTGTGCAGCCTGCCCCCCTCGTATGTAAGGCTATGTGGCTGACTGCTTCCTACCTCCTGAGGAGGACCTGTCCTCACTTACTACACTGGCTCAGACTCCCACTTTTGAGGTGGGAACCCAACATGTGTGCCTGGACCAATCATCTGCTCTCTGGCCGGGAAGTGGCAGAGAATCCTGATGTGGGATTCTGATGTCTCATGATGCCTTTCCTTGGGGTTCCCTGTTACTCTGGCATAAATGTACTTTCTGTACAGAGAGGGCCTTGATGCCTGCCTGTGCTGTGACCCGAGTGACCTCCATCAGTCTATAAACATGGTCCTGGGTCTGCTCTGATCCAGTCCTGTGTCTGCCTCTCCTGGGTAAGGATGAGGCCTACCTGCTGGGTGCTGCCTGCTTCACTTACCTTCAAAGCCTGTACTGTGGTGGGACAACTGGCTTCCTAAAATCCAAATGGGCTGGAAGGGCTGCCTCCATGTGTCCAACGTGGCTGCCAGTATCACTGGGGCAGGTCAGTGCTATGCTTTGAGGGCAGGAGATGTGGCATGGCCACGGGTCTATGTGGTTGTTATTTGTTGAATGATCTACATCATCATAGCAGGTAATGGGTCATGACACCTTGAGGCCCAACCAGCAAGACTATACCAATAGGACACTTGTTTTCTGCTCAGAGCTGAGAACAAAGGCTGAGTGTGTTTGCTGCTTGGGGCTTGGGTAGGAGTAGACATTTTCCACTTTGTTTTAAGTCATGTTAGGGAGAGCAAATAGATTTCATCTTCCGTGCTAAACCCAACTGATTGAGAGTGGTTCCTGAGGCTACTTCTGAAGCTGAGTGCAAAGAATACTGTAATTGATTACTGATGTCTGCCATGCGTATGGACAAGGTCAGGTGGCTTAGGTGCCAGGCATTGGCCACCCCTGTTTGGAAACTCTACTGTTTGTTTAGACTTGGATCTTAGGTGAAAGCAGGGAATTAACTTGGATCTTCTGGTGATTTGAAACATTGACATCCAATGACAGCCTCTTTTACTTGTTCCTCAAATAGTCACTTTTGAGATTCTGGACTTTGGATGCTTCCTGGATTGTCCTGTTGTTTTTGTCCTTCAGCTTGTGACTCATGGGGATTAGGACATGCTAAACCCCTGTAGTGTTTCATCGGTAAGCTGGAAGACACAACCAGAGGACCAAAATGTACTGAGTCATGCTGAGGTAGTTGAGCGAAGCTGTGTCCAGCTGAACTAAGCCAGGCTGACCTTCTCTTGGGTGTCCCCCATAAGTTCAGTTCCATACCTGAGATGCCTGAGTCTTGGGTGATTTGGGTGATGTTTTAATTTTTGGTGCTTTGAATTGTTTCATTAATCTGAGGTCCAGTGGTCTGTCTTTCTGGTAAGAGTGGCAAAATAAATGGTTGGAAGAGCCCTGAGGAGTGAATGATGTGGCCAGTGACATGGGCTGTAGATCAGATATCTGGTTTGGCATAACTTGGAGATGCCCAGCCAGCCATGAACAGCATTCCCTGGCCTGAGGTCAGCTTGCCTCCTCACCCCAGCCCAGAAGGAGTGCCCAACTGGCCATAGCAGTAACTACAGAGTGCAATCTGATGGCTGGCAGTACCTTGGCCTGTGATGCTGCTGTCAACCTCACCTGGGTCCTCCTTTAGGCCCCTTAGGCTCGTGGAAGGGAAGTTAAATGCTCACTTCAAGTCATCTCTCAGCTTAGCCAGGGTTCCATTTCTCTAGGGTTAGTGGCTAAAGGAAGTGTGTGGCACATTCAAGCAACTGAAAGAAGTCCTGTGAATGGAGCACAATGAAAAAGGGGAAAACGAGGATGAGAGGTATGGGGAGGTCATTTCAGCAGGGCCCTCATCTTAAGATTAATGAAGAACAGGGCAGTGATTAAGAGCTCAGCTGCTAACCAAAAGGTGAGCAGTTCGAATCCACTAGCCATTCCTTGGAAACCCAATGGGGCAGTTCTACTCTGTCCCGTAGGGTCACTATGAGTCGGAATTGACTCAATGGCAACAGGTTTTATTTAGTAACACAATAAAGTTGTATTAAAAAAATAAAACCATTCTAGCTTCTGTGTGTGGAAAATGGACTGGACGAGAGCAAGAGAAAAGAGTGGCAAGACCAGTTAGGAGGTCGTTGTGATAATTCAGGAGTGAGAGCTAAAGGCCTAGATGCTTGTGGTGGCAGTGAGGTTGGAGAACATTGTGGGACTTGAGATCTATTTGGAAGGTACAATTTATGGGACTGACTGGGTGTTGGGGGAGGGAAGAGGGGTAGGCCAAGGATGACTCCCAGATTTCCAGCTTGAACAGCTGGGTGCAGGACATACCATTTCCTGAGATGTGGAAACCTGGGAGACCATCAGGTATGGGCTGGGGCCAGAGATGGAGAGTCAACTTTTGATATATTAAACTTGAGGTACCTTTGACTTATCCAAGTGGAGATGTCAAGCAGGTGGTTGTATGTACAATTCTGGAGCTTTTGGCTAGTGATATAAATTTAGTAGTTGTTGGCAAGGGTAACTAAAGGCCTGGAAATGGATCAGATTACCTCTGGATAGAATGTATAGTGAGAGGACAAGAGGACCCAGGACCAGGACTGAAGAAATTTCTATATTGAAAGGTCTGGTATTTAGGATGAGTCTTCTGAAGAGTCTGAAAAGGAGAGGCCAGAAAGGCAAGGGGAAAACCAAGGCAACTTGATGTCACAGGAACATGCAAGATACAGAAGACCTGTGAAATCCCACAAGGTATTTTGAGACCCTGGTGAATTCCTTTTTAGTGCCTTCTGGAAGGGAACTGCCTTTCTGTGGAGTGTGGGGAGAAGTCCAAGTTCCCTGTGCATTTCTGCTTTTAGGATTTGCTCTAAGATCTTTGGCCTTGGGCCCTACATCCTGGCTTAGGGTCAGCGGAGTTGCTGCTTTTTGGGTTTGGGTGCCCTGAGATTTGGATGAGTTGTAACCATCCAAGCCAAGGAAGTATGTGGTGGTGGCTGGTCTCTGATGTTTTCCTTGTTCATTCACCCCTGCTTGAGGGTTTGCTTTGGGAATGTTCTGGGGATTCCAAGATAGGTCAATGGGAAGAGTGGGATTTTGTGGAGCATTTGGTGGGCACTCAGGGTTATATGAAGATGTGGATATAATTGAAACTATTGGAACCTACCACACATATTCATTTGTTCATTCATCCATCTATTCATTCAATTAATCTTTTATATCAGGCTCTGGGGTGGGCATTGGAGACTTAAATGCATTGAACATGGTTCCTGTCCTTGAGTGAAGGAGTAGATAGAAGAATGTTAAAGTGGATCAGGAAGACATATATGATATAGGGATGGGATTGTCTGTGCTAGGCTTCCAGGTCATGCAAGGGAAAGAATGATCAGTTGTACTTGAGGGATCAGGATTGGCTTCCAAGTGAACGAAGTCATAGGAAGTTTCCAGGTGGATGAGATTGGTGGGGAGGACCAGGAATTCCAGGCAGAGGAAGTGCATGGGCAAAATAACATGGTATGGAATGTGGGGTGCTATGAGCACCTGTAAGTGGTTTGTAGTGATGGGAGCATAGAATCAGGCAGGCTAAGGAGCTTGGATTTATCTTGAAGATGATGAGGGCCACTAAAGATTTTTTAGTAGGGGAGTGACCTAATTAAGTTTACATTTTAAAAAGATCTCTTGATGCCACAAGGCTAGAGGGAGGGAGACCAGTTGGAAAGCCTAGAGGAGAAATGGGATGGGGTTCAGGCATTGGTAGAGGCTGCCTCTGTGGCCCATAATATGCTGAGGCTCTGTGGCTCCATAATGGGGTTTGGGCATCTTGACTTTGTTGCCAGAGAAGGTGGCCCAGCTCAGGGACCAGTGGGCGCTGTGTTCCAGGTGGACACACACATCCATGCAGCTGCCTGCATGAACCAGAAGCACTTGCTGCGCTTCATCAAGCACACGTACCAGACGGAGCCTGACAGGACTGTGGCTGAGAAGTGGGGCAGGAAGATCACCCTGCGGCAGGTGTTTGACAGCCTGCACATGGACCCCTATGACCTCACCGTGGACTCACTGGACGTCCATGCGGTATGTGTGCTCCTGTCCTCAAGCAGAAAGCAGCCCTGGCTGGGGTCTCAGTCCTTTGAAACGAAACGTGGCCACGATTTGGTTGGAGTGAGCCTGACTTTGTATGTGGCTCTTTTTCTTCTAGCCATGGAGACTGAAAGGTGATTTGGCCCGAGAGAAAAACAGGGCTCAGGAGCAGCCTTGGGGCAAGGGAAAAGAGAGTGTGACTTGGAGGCAGACAGATCCAAGTCCTAATTCCACTTCTGCCCTTAGGCAACTCACCTAAACTTTTATTTCCTTGCCTGTAAAATGATGGGACTCCCTGGGTGGTGCAAAAGGTTAATGCCTTTGGCTGCTAACCCAAAAGTTGGTGATTTGAGTCCACCTAAAGGTGCCTCAGAAGAACGGCCTGGGAATCTACTTCCAAAAAATCAGCCATTGAAAACCCTGTGGAGCACAGTTCTACTCTGACACACACAGGGTCTCCGCGAGTTGGAAACAACTTGACAGCAACTGTTATTTTATTTTTTATAAAATGATGAGTTCCATGTGCTTTACTGACTTTACAAAGTTATTAAAACACCAAATGAGGTAATGTGGGGAAAGTGCTTGACAAAATCTAATTAGTAACAGGAAACACATTATTATTGAGTGCTAAATGATCTGGTACGGTATTGTCTGCTCACTAGCCGGCTGGGCTCCCAGCACAGTGCCTTGGAGCCTGAGGCCTCTTGAGCCACCTTCACAGAGGGCCTCACAGAAGGGCTCCAAGGCTGACCGGGAGAGGATATGTGGTCCTGGCCCTCAGGAATTCCCAAGACTTCCTGCAAGAAATGACATAGAAGACATCTTTATGGTGGCCTATAGGTATCTGTTAAGGCCTGGAGAGGAAGATGTGCATGGTGAGTACAGAACAATGTGTTGATCTGGCTGGTGGTCTCCTCTCTCCAGGGCCGGCAGACATTCCATCGCTTTGACAAGTTCAACTCCAAGTACAACCCTGTGGGCGCCAGTGAGCTGCGGGACCTGTATTTGAAAACTGAAAACTACCTGGGAGGAGAGTACTTTGCTCGGATGGTCAAGGTGAGTGAGCCTCCTGCCTTTCCAAGGCCTCTTCAGAGGGCAGGGGGCAGGAGGCTAGCATACCTGTCAGTATCTGCCTTCCGAAGGTGGGGCCCTGTATGGCCTCCTATCCCCTCCCTGGAGCCCTCCTCCATGGCCGCCCTGCTGCTGTTGCATGTGCCGGTTGCAGGGAAGAGGAAAGGAAGGATACCCATACCCAGCTCACTGCCTGTCTCTCTTTGCAGCCCAAACTTAGATGGGTGCAGTATAGCTCAGCATGGAGATGCTTTCTGATGCCTGACCTGGCTCTGCAGTGTGACGGTGTAGATCCAAGGCCTTCCTCCCCAGGAAGGTGCCTCTGCTGAGGCCGAGCAAATGCTCACATGGCAGCACTGGGATTTAGACGAGGCCTTCCCAGCCCAGGAGCAGGCGGCTGAGGGAGCTGCAGGATGCAACAGCTGGTGGCAGAGACCTGGGGGTGGGTCTCCTATGCAGCAGAGATGGTCTTGGGCTGACCCAACCTCTTCTTGGTGCCAGGAGGTGGCTCGGGAGTTGGAGGAGAGCAAGTACCAGTACTCAGAGCCGCGGCTCTCCATCTATGGCCGCAGTCCCAAGGAGTGGCCTAACCTGGCCCGCTGGTTCATCCAGCACAAGGTCTACTCGCCCAACATGCGCTGGATCATCCAGGTGCCCAGGATCTAGTAAGTGAGGCTGCCCCGCTGGCTGCCCTCTGCCCTCTGGGGACACCAGCCTGTCCAGCCTGGGCTCTGAGTCTGCACTAGTGAGGGTGGGGCCTGTTCTGGTGCCAGCTTAGGCCTCTCCTCCCCAGGGTTTTTCCCACAGCGTGGAGTGGCTGGCAAGGATGGTCTTGTGACACTTACACTCCTTCAAAGACCATTTATGTGCAAAGCCCTGGTGGGAACTTCTGCCCCACCTTCTTCTCACTGGGGAGTGAGGATGAATTGTTCTTTAGGGTGAGCCCTGGGGTATAAGGTGACCTGGGTGGTGGTCTAGGTTGCTGTCCACCACTGTCCTCTCCAGCCGACTGGCCGATGTGGGGCTAATTGACCCAGGACAGGTTGGGGTGTGTTGGTTAGGAGAACTGAGCTGAGAGTCAGAGTTTGGCTCACTGGAAAATTTGAGTACTCATCTCTCAGAACCTTGGTCAGCCTGAATCCTACCACCTCACTCCCACAATAGCCTCTGGTTTGAGAAAGTTCTCTGATGGGGGTCGATGGGTGTTGAGTTTGCAAAACAATGCCTAGGATTGTGGAAGTTGCTGGGAGCTGGAGGGAGAGAAGGCATTCAGGCCTCACCTCTGACTCTACTCCTGAGTGTTTAAGTGGTGTTTAAGTGAGAGTGTCTGAGAAAGTGACTGAGGCCAATCAAGACAGGCCAAGGGGGCTGTTGAACCTGTCTAATAAGCAAGTTTTCACTATCCCCCAGTGATATATTTAGGTCAAAGAAGCTGCTGCCAAGCTTTGGGAAGATGCTGGAGAACATCTTCCTGCCCCTTTTTGAAGCCACAATCAACCCTCAAGATCACAGAGAGCTTCACCTCTTCCTCAAATATGTAAGTGTGGTGGTGCCCTAGGCAAGTCATCTAGTGGTGGAGGGAGGGAAAGTATTCTGGGTGTTTGGGTCGTTTTCTCGTTGCCCTACTCTGGCTTCTCTTCTCATATTCTGTCACCTGTGTGCCCCAGACATAGGGTTGCCAGCCCCAGGAAACTGAATTCCTAAAATAATGGAGCCTTGAGTCCAGGGAGGGATGTCCCCTTCTCCTCAGGGGCAGCCCTGGGGGAAGAGTGTTGGGGCAAGGTATGCCACCCTGCTGGGAAGGGCAGCCCTGGGGGAGAGGCTGAGGGGTCAGTTCCTGGTCAGGTGGGGCTGGGGAGACTGGATCCTGCCCCAGGAAGCAGCATTCTTTAGAAATGCAGACATTTCAACTCTTTTGTTTATACCCTTACAAACAAAGGTCCTTACACCTTGTTTGGTTAAGTTCGACAAGCCCTGAAAAATATGTTTCTCTTGCATATATGGTTAGTTATGGGAGAGGGAGAGATGGGATAGGGGAGAGACTTAAGCAAAAAGAGAGTGAGGGCGCAGGCGCTGGTCATCCTTGGGGTGCCTAGAATGGAGGGGTGCAGACAGTGAGAGGCGAGCTCGGTACCTGGTCTAGGTGACTTCAGACAGGGAGGGAGGCAGGGAGGAGCCCAGATGCCTGGGGCGTGGGGGAGGGTGATTGAGGCTGTGTGTGTAGAGGGGCAGGAAGGGGTTTGAATGAGTTGAGGGACACCTTCAAATTTATGTTTTAGACAAAATCATTCTGGCTGTTGTGCGGAGAATGGCCTGGAACAAGAGGTAGTTGGAGGTTGGCGGAAGGGGCAAGAAGAGAGTCAGAGGGCCTGTTCCAGCAATGGAGGCAGATGGTGGGAGCTTGGACCAATGGTGAGAGCTCACATCTATCTAGTGCTAGCTGCCTGGCCTAGTGATACACATCATGGCAGGGTATCATTTATGCCAACAATTATCCTGTTATTATTACCACTTGGTTGTCATTAATAATAAGCAGAATTATGTGCTTGTCACGTGTTAGGCATGTGGATTATCTCATTTAATCCTCAAGCAGACCCTATGAAGTACTGTCCAATTTGCACACAAAGAAATTAAAACAGAGAGGTGACAAAGCTAAAAAGTAGCAGAACTGGAATTCAAATCCAGGCAGGCTGACTCCAGAGCGTGTGCCATTAACCCCTAGAGTACACTGCCTCCCAAGTAAGAAAAGTGAGGTGTGTGGTAATTTACCAGCTTGTGGCCTTGAGCAGATGGCAGGGCAGGGACTTTGAGGGCAGAGCAGGGGGCTTGGCAAGAAGGGGTGGGTGGTACAATTGACAGTACCTGGGCAAAGACTGAAGGTGAGGAAGAGGGAAGAGTCTAAGATGCCTCCCAGGGGTTTGGCTTTGTAGGAGGGTAGATGTAGGGCCTTTCAGAGGTCACTGCCAACAGTGGGAGAAGAGCAGGCTTAGGGGGAGGAGGAGGAGGAGTTAGGGTTTGGACAGGTTTATGTTTGAGGCCCGTAGGAGACCAAGGTGGTAAGGACCTGCATCAGTTGGATCCAAAGCTCAGGAGGGGCCTGACATCATCCCTCTCCCAAAGGTGGAAAAACTAGGACATAGTTCATAGTACGGTGCTAATGAGCACAGAGCAGAGCTTGAGGCCCTCCCCGCTCTCCAGTCCCATCCAGGGCATGCTTAGAGCCGTAGCAGGGATCCTGGCCCTTTCCTTTGACATGTATGACTGTGATGGGCAAGATTCTGGCCAAGATGCTCATAGTCCCTTGCTCCTCTGGCCTCTACAGCCCATTTAGGCTGGAAGACCTGGCTGGGGTCTGGGAGCCCCCCAGTTTGGTCCAGTTGTGGAGTGAGGTGGACAGTCTCTCTCCCATCTGGTGTTCAGAGTCCCCTTCTCAAAGTGCTGCTGTGCGTGAGGAAAAGGAGGGAGATGTGTTAGCAAAACTGTCCCATGTGCTGGCTGAGAGGCTGTGTCCTGTGTTGTCTGTGGGTACGTTCTTGGTGGGGGCTTGATCTCTGGAATCAACCAGAAGGCTCTGGAAGCCAGGCCAGCCTGATGATCAGAGTAGGGCCACCAGGGGCATAATTGGGTTCCAGTTGAGGTATAACGGCAGTGGAAGGATGGGAGTTTCCTAAGGAGCCTCTCTCCCAGCTTAGAAAGTAGTCCTCAATGAAGACTTAGGAGAAGTTACCTCCTGGGAACCACAGCCTTCCAAGCAGCCCTCCTGGAAAGGGGCACATGTTGGCCTGTTTGTGAGGCATCCAGGCTAGTTTCTGGTGGCCATACCTGGGACATGCCTTAGGGTATTCTTCATTCTCAGCCCAAAGGGATGCAGATGCTGAGCCCACTTGGCCTTAGAGCCTGGTCGTCTCACCTGGGCAAGTTCCTTAATTGCCTTGGCCCTTGGTTTGCTCCACTGTAAAACGGGGCCAATCCCTCCCTCACAGAGATGGTCCGGGTATTAAATTAGCTCATGTGTACAAAGTGCTTCAAGCAGGGCCTGACTTACAGTAGGTACATGGGAAATACCTGTCGCCTTCCCCTCGCAGCTTTTTGTCCCTACTGCTGATGGCAGTGGCTGCTGGGTATCCTATAGCACTGGCCTCCTCCTCAGCACTGCAGAGGGATGGGCGGTGGGTATGGCTGCATCACTGTTCTTCTGGTCCTGTCACCCCTACCACACAGGTGCTTGGCACTCTCCATTCTGGCCTCCTAGGTACCTTTGGAAGCCCTGGAGGGACAGAGAGTGGTGTTGTGCCCATTGTCCAGCCCTGGGAGGAATGTGGCCTCAGGCAGGCCGGAGGGTCCCTAGCTAAGGTACATCCTGAGAGACATTTGGCAGCTCAGGTCTAAGACCTGGGAGACCTGTTCTGCCTTTGCTTGATGCTCAGGACGCCTCCTCTTGCCTAGGTGACGGGGTTCGACAGCGTGGATGATGAATCCAAGCACAGCGACCACATGTTCTCGGACAAGAGCCCCAGCCCAGAAATCTGGACCAGTGAGCAGAACCCGCCTTACAGCTACTACCTGTATTACATGTACGCCAACATCATGGTGCTCAACAACCTCCGCAGGTGGGTGAGCCCAGCCCCTTTACACACACTTGTGTTCACGTGCTAGCACATATGCAAACACATGTGTCTATGTGCACTTGAACCAACACATATGTCCATGTGTCCACACACCTCAAAATACATGGGCACTTCTCAACACCCCCACACAGGCACATATCAGTATCATTACATACACTCACAGGCATGCCCACTATGACATGCATGCCAATACAGACATGTACCCTGTGTACAATGCAGATGCATACCACCATGTACATACATGTTCATACAAATACACAATACTCACCAAACACATATACATGTGTATATATGCACAGTCTCTGTACATACACGGAACATGCTAACACACATGCATGCTCATTGTATCACACACCCAACAATGTTCACACATGTATTCATTTAAAAAATATTATTGTGCCTGCTATGTGACAGCATTCTTCTAGGTACTGGCTATATGCTAGGGAACAAAACAGACTAAATCTGTGCCCTCATGGAGCTTATATTCAAGTCATCTTACATGGACAGACTCCCACCAAGACACACATGGACAGAAGTTGGATGCCCAGGACACTGAGCCACCCGTCCCCAAAGGCTTTCAAAGTCTAGCATCCCTCCTGCTCCTGGCCTTGGGGGCCTCACTAGCTCAGCCTAAGTCAATACTAGTTTATGGGTGTGGTGGCTTTGAATGGGGTCATGATTAAAAGAAGATGGCCTGATATTGGGGGTGGGGTTAGCCCTGGGCTGGGCTTTCAGAGATGGGCCTTCTAATTCTAGCTCTGCCACTGACCTGTTCAGTGGCCTTGAACAAATGATTTCACTCTCTGGGCCTTGGTTTACCCATTATTATAACAAAGAGGTTGGACTTAATGGCTTCTCATGGCCTTTCCTAGTCTGAAGTTCTATGGGCCTGGGCTACAAGGTCTGGTGAGGGGGGCTATGGGAAGAGGGTCAGCTTCTACCACTAGACCCCCCTCTCTATCTCCCAGAGGTGAGATCTCTTGGTTCTGGGAGGGATAGCTTCTGGGCTGCACTGGTCAGCTGTGCTGACCCTGCCATGGGTGACCGTCTCCCCCAAGCTGGGAGTACTGGCCCAATGCCTGTGGGACCCCAGGCAGGGTGGACCCATGGCCTACCTTCTCCTACAGGGAACGAGGCCTGAGCACTTTCCTGTTCCGGCCTCACTGTGGGGAGGCTGGCTCCATCACCCACCTGGTATCTGCTTTCCTGACCGCTGACAACATTTCCCACGGACTGCTCCTCAAGAAGGTAATAACTGGGCCCTCATAGGGGCTTGCCCTGCTCTGCTGGGCTCCCCTGGGAGAAGTGGGGTCGCATGGCTCCTGCTGCCCCTGGGAACCTCCAGCCAGTGATGCTAGAAGGCAGGAACTTTTTCTGGGCTGACTGACTATAGTCACCTTGGTTTCATTTTTAATTATGAAATTAATATAATCAAACATATTACAATTTAGAAAATGGAGAAGTGGGGGGAAGAAAAATCTTATTGCTATTACTTTAATAGAAGCAGCCGGTGTTACTTTTTGGTGTCTTCGTTTCTGTTTTTTTTCAGAGCATATTTTTAATGTGCTTATTATCATAATAAGGAGCCCTGGTGGCGCAGTGGTTAAGTGCTCAGCTGCTAACTGAAAGGTCGGCGGTTCAAACCCACCAGCCGATCTGTGGGAGAAAGATGTGGCAGTCAGCTTCTGTAAAGATGACAGCCTTGGAAACCCTATGGTTTCTGGTCTGTCCTATAGGGTCACTGTAACGGTAGTGGGTTTGCTTTGGTTTTGGATTATCACAATGAACACAGAATTTTGGTTCTTGCTTTGTCCCTTAATGTTGTATTATAAACATTTTTCTGTGCTGCAGTATAACATCGCTTCCTCCTCATTCTAGAATCTCTCCTCCTCATTCTAAAGCTGTTGGGTGAATGGTCGACTTAACCAGTCTCCAATTGTCGGACACAGAGACTACATCCAATTTTTCCCTCGTGTAGATAATGCTACCCTGAACTCTGCATTCAGCTTTCTCCGTATTCTGGCTCACTTCCTTAGGAATGATGTTGCTTAAAATGCTCTCCTGCCCTGGTCCCTGGAGAGGTCTAACCCCATGTCACACTTCTGTGTGGGGAGGCTGCTTCCCATCCCTTCAGGGCTCATCTCCAAAAAATGGAGTGTTTACATTCTCAACCTGAAAGTTTGGGGTCAAAGCAACACAACAATGAAAGTGGGTCATCTCCTGGACGGACCCATTGGCGCCTGGGGGAGGGGAGCTGAGTAAGTGGGTGGGGTCAGCCTGGGGCCGTATGGCTGCTCTTCCTGCCCTGAGCTGGGCCCAGTTAGGGTCTGTGCCTCCAGTTTGGAGCCAGGAGTGAGCAAGTCAGTGGGCAGGAGGGCAGTCACCAGAGAGAAATGAGAAGAACATCAAGGTGGGGGAAGGTGGAGGGTGAGGTCTGGCTTTGAGGAGCTCAGGCTCTGTTAAGGACTTGCACAAACACTGCCCAGACCCTGTTTTCCATTGATGAATGCTTCTTCCCTCCCTTCCTCCCTCTTTTCACCCTTCCCCTTCCCTCCCTCCTTCTCTGGCATTTGTCACATGTATTTGGTTGTTCTTTTGCAGAGTCCGGTATTGCAGTATCTCTACTACCTTGCTCAGATCCCCATTGCGATGTCTCCTCTTAGCAACAATAGTCTGTTCCTCGAATATTCCAAAAACCCTCTGAGGGAATTCCTGCACAAAGGACTACACGTTTCTCTCTCCACCGATGACCCCATGCAGTTCCACTACACGAAGGTGAGGACTTGGGGGGAAGGGGCAATGGTGCCCTCAGCAGGCATCAGTGCTGGCCTGTCTTCCCACTGCAGGGACCTGAGCAGATGGGTCAATTCTGCTTTGGGTATGGGGCTGGTGGCCCAGTGAGACGAGAGGTAAGCCACCAGTGAGGGAGTATTCCTTCCAGGAGCCCTCTCTTTGGGGGTCCTTGAACCCTTGAAGGCGCAATTTCACTTCTTTACCTTCTCTATTTTTCCCTACTTTGACACTTCCTAGCCCTGTGACCTTGGTCAAGTTACTTGAACTCTTTGAATCTTTTTCCTCCTTATCTGTAAAATGGGGATAAAACGGACTCTATCAAAGGGTCTAATATAGTGTCTGCATATAGCAGGTATTCAAAATGTTAGCTACTGTTCTTTAAATAATACTATTGTTATTGTTGTTATTACTATTATTACACTTTGGATCTCTGGCAAAAGAGGAAGGGCAAGGTGATGTCATGCATGGGGACCATACATAAGTATATTTAGCACATTTTGATGGTGTTGATAAGAGCAGCCACTGATTAGCAAAAATAGAAGAGCCAGAGTCTTTTTTTAGGACAGTGATTCTCAAATCTTTTGGTCTCAGGATCCCTTTATACTCTAAAAACTGAGGTCCTCAAAGAGTTCTTATTTATGTGGTTTATATTTACTGATACTTACTGTGTTAGAAATTAACTGAGAAATTTAAAAATATTTATTAACTCATTTAAAAATAACATTACTAAATCAATTAAGTGTTAATATAACCAGCAATTTTTATGCAAAATATATTTTCCAAAACAAAAAAATTATTGAGAAATCGCATTGTTTTACATTTTGCAAATCTCTTTAATGTCTGGTTTAATAGAAGATAGATGGATTCTCATATCTGCTTCTGCATTCAATCTGTCTTGATACACATTTTCACCAAAGTATATGAAGAAAATCCAACCTTACACAGATATAAAGTGGGAAAAGGGAGACCGTTATGGACCCCTCAAAAGGTCCTGGGGATCCTGAGGCATCCTTGAACCATACTTTGAGAACCACTGCTCCAGGTTACAGAAGCAATGAGGTTGGGAAGGGGTGATGAGAGTGCTGGTGATTAACACACATCATTTCATATCCCAGAAGATAAAGCATGACCACAGCTCAAACCCAAATCCTTTGGGGTTTATACTATCTCACTACTTATACCGTAACTATTTCTCATTCTTATTTTAATGTTCCATCTCTACCCGTGGTATTTTATTCATGTTAACTTTTATGTCTTAAAGAAAATGACGTGTTAAAGAGAAAGCAACTACAGAGCAGGTACTAAGTATGTGCATGAGAAGAGGGATTGTCACAGGAGGGCAGAGACTGGCATCCCCGATGCCCGGCTCAGGGCTTCAAACATCTCAGGCATTCATCTGCAGGCCAACAAATAAATGTGCACGTGTTCTTTTTCATATCTCTTTGGTAACCTGAGATTTCACTCAAAGATGTTGTTGTGTGCTGCCAAGTCAACTCCAACTCACAGGTGTTATGTTGCCTGATTATCAAGAGGCCAGTTATTGAAGGAAAATATCCACTAGCCACTCCTTGGAAACCCTATGGGGAAGTTTTACCCTTTCCTATAGGGTCACTATGAGTCGGAATTGACTCGAAGGCAATGGGTTTTTGTTTTTGTGTTTTTTTTGCTATATACTTAACGTTTCTAGCTTTGGAAATATGTTTAGCATTGAAATGAATATTCTATCGTCTAATAAATTTACATTTGGGGGAGGGATCTAGGAAGCACTTATGGAAGAATATGCAATTGCAGCTCAAGTGTGGAAGCTGAGCACGTGTGACCTGTGTGAAATCGCCAGGAACAGTGTGCTGCAGAGTGGCCTCTCACATCAGGTATGGTGTGTGCCAGTACTGCCCTCTGTCCCTCCCATCCTCTTAACAAATGCCTGGCAAATGCCTACTGCGTGCCAGGCACTTTCTAGGCACTGGGGGTCAGTGATGAACAAAACAAACCGGGTCTCTGCTGCAATGAAACTCATGTTCTAGAAGAATCCTTGGAAGCCTCCTAAATTTGACCCCATTACCTTTCTCAGATCTCTACTTAGATGTCACCTTCTCGCTCTTGATACCCATTCTAAAATATCCACACTCTTCCCTTCACTGTCTCTCCCCTCAATCTGTTTTTCTTCATTACATTAAGTACTACTGACATTGTACTCTGTATTTAGGTCACAGACTGTTTTGTTCAGTATTATATACCCAGGACCTAGAATAGTCCTTTGCACTTAGTAGGTACTTATTATTTCTTGAATAAATGAATAGTACCTTAATTGAATAAAAAATGCCAGGGATGGTATCTTGGGCATCAGTAATTTTTTTTTAAAGCTCCTTAGGTGTTATGGATTGAATTATGTCCCCCCAAAATGTGTGTTGTAAATCCTAACCTCTATGCCTGTGGTTATAATCCCATTTGGGAATAGGTTGTCTTTGTTATGTTAATAAGACAGGATTAGTGTAGAGTGTATCTTGAGTCAATCTCTTTTGAGATATAAAAGAGATTAAACAAGTGAGCAGAGAGAGAGATGAATTTAGATGCCAAGACACATGGAGATCTCCAAGGAACCAGGAAGAAGCTGAAGAAACAAGAATCTTCTCCAGAGCTGACAGAGGAAGCCTTCCTCTAGAGACGGCGCTCTGAATTCAGACTCCTAGCCTCCTAAACTGTGAGAAAATAAATTTGTTAATTAAAGCCATACACTTGTGCTATTTCTGTTATAGCAGCACTAGATAACTAAGACACTCAGTGATTCTAATGTGGAGCCTGGGTTGAGAACCATTGCTTTAGATGTTATCTTGTGTCCCTGAGAGCCTCCCTTGGGTGATGTCACAGGCACAGGAAGAGGGCTGCCTCACGTGATGTTCTTGTTGGGTGATGGCGCAGAGAAGAGTTAAATGCTCAAGATTCTTTTTGTATGGATGTAGTTCCTTGGTGTCCGTCCCCTCCCCCCCACAAAAAAAAAATACCTGTCTATGCCCTTATCAACTCTCAGGAGGGATTTCTTAGAGTCTTAACACATTCACTTTGCCTTCTCCATCCCCAGCAGCTCTTGCAGTCCTTATCTTTCCCTTTGATTAAGGAAAGCGTAGTCAGGAACCAGGGTAATGAATGTGGTTGCCAGGGTGACATCCTTGAGGACATGAGGGACAGGAGGAATTTTATAACAACCTATGGGGAAACATAGGAGCCCTGGTGGCACAGCAGTTAAGAGCTCGGCTGCTAACCAGAAGGTCGGCAGTAAGAATCCACCAGCCACTCCTTGGAAACTATATGGAGCAGTTCTACTCTGTCCTATAGGGTTGCTATGAGTCAGAATCGACTTGACAGCAATGAATTTTTTTATGGGGAAAAATGTCCTGGGTGAGGATCTGCCTCAGAGAGACTAGTCTGATTTTCTATGGCTAATTTTAAAGTTGCCTATGTGGATGTAAAAAGTGAATCTAAGGTATACGGTTTCATTTGTATTTTTATTGGTCCACAGGAAAAACAAAAGTTTCTGGGACAAAATTATTACAAAGAAGGACCTGAAGGAAATGACATTCGAAAGACAAATGTTGCTCAGATCCGGATGGCATTCCGATACGAGACCTTATGCAATGAGCTCAGCTTCCTGTCCGATGCCATGAAATCAGAAGAGATCACAGCCCTGATCCAGTAGGTCCATGACTGGACATGCACTTTACCTTTTTGGTTTAATTTCAAGTCAGCTGTGACTAACAGTGGTCAAGATACCAAACTAGGACTTTCCTCCAGGGAGAGGATGCCTCTGAAGAACTTTCAAACTAGTGATTTTTGGTTGCACTTTCACTTTCAGCTCTAACATGCCCACTTCTGTTAGTATTTCTAAGTGATGACTCTTCCTCCTTGGAGATCAGGTTGCTGGGCACTTGTCTGAACTTGTTCCTAGTTTTCCAAATATTTCTTTTGAAACCTCCAGTGCTTGTATTGTTGGGGCCAGGATTTTCCAGGGTCAAATGCCAGGTGACACGAGGCCTGTGTGGTGTTCTGCCATACGTACTCCTCTATAGGCCCTGCAAGCTAGTTGGTAGTTTTCATTTCAGCCTCTGGCTGGCTGCCTTAAAATCCATTTCAAAGCTCCCTTTCATAAAGGGGCTATTTTGAGAAAATTAAAATAGAAAACTTTTTTTTTTTTAAATGTATTTCTTAAAGTGTTTTATTTAGGCCCCGTTTTTATTTAGGAAGCCAAATGTTTCCTCATCTAAAAAGTAAGGATTTGGACGATATGTGCGGTTTTCAAATGGTGTTCTGTGAACTCGCCACGCGGACCACTTGAGGGTTGGGGAGGGAAGGGATGAGTGAGTTTCTGGGTGCTGCCCTTACTTCTTCAGAGTGACTTTGCTTTCATCAGTTTTGTATTGGAGCTTCTAGATAATATTTTCATTTGAACAAAGGACTCCTGGGGAAAAACTCTGAAAAGCACAGGACTAGAGGATCCCTAAGCAGCCCTGGCGGAACAACAGTTAAGCACTCAACTGCTAACTGAAAGGTTGAAGGTTTGAACCCACCAGCCGCTCTGTAGGAGCAAAGACCTGGTGATCTAATCCCATAAAGATTTACAGCCTAGAAAACCCTATGGGGCAGTTCTACTCTGTCCTGTAGGATCGCTGTGAGTCGGAATGGACTGAAGCGACTAGACAGCTTACAAGAACAACAGATGATCTCTGTCCCTTTTGGCTCTAATATGCTGTAACTGAAGCCTAAGTCTCGTTTTACTGATTAAGAGTTAAGGCCAGAGAACTGAAATTTGCTTAGAATTAAGGTCACACAGCTCATAAGATCAGAACTAAGTTTCTTTACTCCTCATCCAGTCATTTTCCCACTATTCCATTAGGTCTCACAAATGTTAGATTTTTTTTTTTTTTTAACACTGCACCCTGACACGTTCCTCTTAAAAGGCAGAATTTCTCTCTTATCTAATACCCAGACGTCTTCAGAAGATACAGCAGTCCCAGATGCTATGAGGGAAGTGTTTAAGACCAATCTAAACTTTACCCATGTACTCTTCATCTGTTACTAGTGCCTGGTACATAGTAGGTGCTCAATAAATGTTGAATAACTGAATGAATTTCTTTTGGCAACTTCTAAAGTGTATGTGCTCCTAAAGGATGTGTATTTCTCAACAAGCTGCTCAAGGACATTCCCGTCTATTTCTGTGGGCAAATTTAGCCCATGGGAAGTCCTTTTTAGTCATTATAAAGTTAGAAGAACCCTGTTTTTGTGTGTGAAAATGCTTATTTGAATTTAGATTGTCTTGTCCTATAACCTTATAATGCTTGTCCCCTCTACTAGTCAACTTAGCATACGGAACTTAAATCTTTTTACTAGGCAAAAATATATGCTATCTTACGACTGATTATGAAATTGAATGAAAACTCACCATTTATCTTAGGAATTCATCATTTTTGAAAAGCCCTCATTTGTATACATTTGCCCTAACATAATAAGTATTATACAGTTTGTCATTGTCATTTTCTGTACCAAGAATTTTTTTTAAATTATTAAATAAAGTTTGTCAGGACAGTGGCTTAATAAATTAAAACTATCTCAATTTAATACTATTTAAAGCAAATGTTTGTTTTTTACTTTAAGATTGGACATCATGAAAAGCTATAAATAATAACTGCTCATTTATCTTTTACTAAGACTCAAGTATGGATGAGATTCACTAGAAGAACTCAGAACTTTTCAAACTGAAGCTTCCTAGACCCAGAAAGCTTTGCTATCTTAACTTTTTGGAGCCCTGGTGGCACAGTGGTTAAGAGCTTGGCTGACAACCAAAAGGTTGGCAGTTCAAATCCACCAGCCGCTCCTCGAAACCCTATGGGGCAGTTCTACTCTCCTATAGGGTCGCTATGAGTCGGAATCAACTGGATGGCAACAGGTTTGGTTTACATTTTTATGGAACTCTGCCCTGTTATAGTTCAAGAGCAAAGCCACACATGATCACTTCCTTTTCCCTTGGTATTAGTTTAGTCCACCCAGCCAGCATTTGTTGCATTTTACCTGAACAGCCAGCTTTTCAGACATCTTTTTCTATAGCACTTTGTACTTATATTACATTGCTGTATGTAATTGGCCTTTTTGGGAGTGAATGCCTACTTTCAATTCTGTTTGCAGTTGGAATCAAAGGCAACTATATACTGGCCCACATTTCTAAAAGAACAGTTTCTGAGTTGGAGGTATGTTACCTCTTACTTATTCTAAAAGGCTTTGGCTCGCTTTATGTTACTTTAAACCGTATTGTTGAAATGATCAACATCATTCATTGCTCTATGTCTCATGAAAACAAATCACGGCTCCAGGGCTGGCACTTGTCAAGGCCTGTTCTGAGCCTTTACTTTTATCTTGGATTAAAACAAAGTTGAAAGCACATCCCCCTGACTTTCTCTTGTTTCTGAGTGCTGTGTTGGTGAAACAATATTCATCTTTTACTGGGTTTGTAGACAAAACTAAAGGTGATATATTGGTGATATAGCTAAACATTCTATACTTGAAAAAACAGAGCGCAACTAACTGCATTAAAAGGAACACAAATCAGACAAACATTAATTCCTTGGAAATCTTTGTACTCTTAACCTGTAAGGAATAAATATTTTGTTAGAAAGATATAAGATGACAGGGTAAGACTATAAACAGCTACAAGATTATCAAAATCTCTGAGGAGGTTTTTATGCCTTTTGATACTATGTCTTTTTGATACTAAAACGTGTGCTTCCGTATGATGATGTGCATATGATGATGATGATGTACGTTGGAAATGGACATCCCCTTCCCAGCACTAAGATTCTAAGATACTTCTCTAATTACATTCTTATATCTTGAAAACACTCCATAGGGTGGAATATTTTATCAATTATTTTTACTGTTCAGTAGGGTAAAGAGACATGAGAACTAATGAAAGTCTGCTGTCAACTGTTTATATTACACTGTCATTGGGCTATCCTTCATAAATGTGGACAGTCAACTGATTTCCTCAGTCTCCAAGTAGTTTCTTATTCCGGGATAGACAAAGTCTTAAGCTTGACTTAATTATGAAAAAAAAAGTTAGGATGCAAATTCTTTGGACTGCCTTTTAATGAATGTAACTTCTCAATGCTAAAAATCACTGAACCAAAAGTATTCTCAAAGCAACCTTATTACCCAGGTATATATATATTAGGCATAAGGAAAGGGAATCCAATTTGAAATGGATTTTAAAACATAGCACACAAACATCACAAACTCTCAAAGCACAATATAAAACAGTCCTCGAAGGAACACACACATTTAGTATATAAGAATGTGAAACGGCATGATAAGAAAAAAATCTCTTCAATTTGCTAAAATTTACTTGCTAAAGATTATTTATTGCACAGTTCATCAGTCTGTCCTAAGAATAAACAGATGCTCTTATTCTTAACATCTGAATTCAGTACATAGTCAAATTCATTTTCTCAAACTAAAGTTCTATAGCATTATTATACGAATAAACCCTTTGTTACTGAGTTAGGATAAGGAAAACCTTATAACTTACAAAACAAATCCTCAGAGTTCATAAAACCATTTCACAAATCCTAGAAGGCACACATTACATTTCCTAACACAGTAAGTGTATTTAAATACTTCAGATTTAAGACAAAGCTGTACAGAATACAAAAAGTACACATTTCATCATTTAAATAAATTTACAACTTTTAAGATTAGTTATTAAACAGTAGAATCTATCTAACATTCACATCTAAAGAATTATCACCCAGTTTAATGGAGTAAGCATAGAACTGTGTGCTCATTTATTTGATAAGGCTAATAAAAACATTTTATATTTCACAGTAGATCAGTCAGTGTCTTGGAGCTCACATTGTAAAAATAAAAAGGTTTCGGCAATATCAAGTCACTGGGATCATTATTAAGTAGTTCCATGAAAGCTGAAGGATTCTGGCTATACCTAGAAAGATCCAAAACTCCGTAAAGCAACTTTATTTTCAGAAATATTTTAAAATTAGGCAATCAATTAAACTCAGCAAGTCTAATCTAAAAGGAAAATATAAAATCTTACAGATGGAAAAGATCTCAGAGAATCATCTATTCCCAGCTTTTCGAAATATATTTCATGGTATACTAATAATCCACGGAGGAGATTTAGTGTTCTGCAAATCTGACTTGAATTAAAAAAAAACAAAACAAAAAACAAAAACACTTTAAAAACTTTTCCCATCATACAAATGTGTTCTCACCAAATTCTCATACACTTCAGATCACCAATGCATTAGTATGTGTTATAATTGATTTTATAATATTTAGTTATTATAGTATGTAGAGTTTGTATAATGTATAAGGAAACTTATATTAATAAAATAGGACTTTTATATAGTGGGGTAGGGTGTGTGTGTGTGTGTATATGTATGTATGTACGGGTTCTGTGTAAGATTTTACTTGGGGAAAAATAAAGGTTCCACTGCTGAAATAACGTATGAAAACCGCATAGGAACCTAAAAACAAGAGGAAGGGCCTTTCTAAGGTCACATATTACCAGGTGAGAGTGATAGAGCCCCCAGTACTCTGCTTCCATAAACATCTATAATGAGTATTTAGCCATTTGGTACTTAACTACCCCCATTATGAATGTCAACAGATTAGGTCATCAGTATTCTGTGAGCAAAATGAAGCTACTCTCCATCAGACATTTGTCCTAGATTATATAATTTGTATGCCTATTAAAATCCTAGGATCCAAAAATTCTGTCCTTAATAAACAGCAACTTAAAATCGTATACCTTAGTACTTAGAAAAATAGTAATATTTGCAACTTACCAATTATAGATCAGAAAATTTCCCTGGAATGTTAAAATGCTTTTTAAAGACGTCAGTTTTATTATATGCTAAAATGTTAATGTTTAATATAAAACAAAAATTTTGCTAAGCAAAAATTTTATCAGCAACATTTTTAAAAAATGGTTGAGATGCTACTGGAGACATAATTCCATTATTACTATACTCTTTCAGAGTATTTCAAAGGAAGTACAATGAAACAGTAAGAAAGCCAAATTATCTCCTTTCAGAAGTGCTTTATGTATATATGGTGAAAAATTTCTATCTTGTTTTCTTCTTTCTTAATCTAAGAAATATGAACCTCAGAAAGATGCCTTCAAATTAAGAAAAAAAAAAGCACCATGAACTAATATTGAATGATTTATCATAATTTGGAAATAGAAAATTTGGGATCTGTGATGAAGAAAAATTTCCTTCTGAAACTCTGTAAGTGTGAACATTATCAAAAGCCATTTAAAATAGTTTCCCAGCTGTAGGAAAGCATTTCCAGAATAGCCAAGAAGATTCCCAAGCAGAAATCCATTCACAAGGCAAGGTCACGCCCAACTTTATATTAGTCACTCAAATTAGACAGCATGGCAAAAAAAACCCAAAAACTTTTAGTTAAAAATATGTAGATTCATTGCTAAAGTTACAAAATAATTGTTGATAATTTCAAGTAAAAATATTATAGGAGCAATAATTAACCACAAGGGGGCATACAGACTCCTTAAAGTCCAGCACAAAGACTAGTTCTAAGTAGTAATATGCACTTTGACGTATTCTACATTTTTAGTCATTTAAATTTTTCTCTCAGATGGCTACGTCTTTTTAATATTCAAGGTTTATTTTAAACCTAACTAAAAATATTCCAGAACACTCCTGCCCTGGAAAATAGTAGTGTTTCAGAAGCTTCTGGAAATGCTGATGTTACCTTAGCGAAGCATTCATACAGCAATGAATTCTAATACACATTAGAACAGATAAAAAACAATATGGTCTAAGACAGTAGCAAATTTTAGTTTACCACAAATGGAAGACATGGAAAGTTTATCAAAAGAAACGGGACAATTTGTCAGAATAGCAAAAATAAGAGGGTGGGAAAAATAGTTTTCCTGTGTCTGTGCCACAACATTCCTGCATTCTTCCCCCATGACCAATGACCAAAGTGTTTATAGCCCACAGTAGCAACAGAAGATCTTCATCCCAAGGTCACGGCCGATGGGGCTGGCCTGCCTCGTCAGCCAAGTTAAGAATATAGTTAGCCATGTCATCTTCAGTGGGTGCATCTGACACCACCCAAGATTCATTTGCACCAGTCATCTGTAGGCGACAGATAGGGCAATTCCTGTGCCGATCACTCCTATTAGGGAAGTCAAATAAAGAACACAGTTAAGTTTTCTTTTTCTTCTTTTTTAAAAACGGGTTTGTTTGAAAAGTAATACATTTACATGGCTGTCTTAGACATCTAGTGCTGCTATAACAGAAATACCACAAGTAGGTGGCTTTAACAAAAAGAAATTTATTTTCTCACAGTTGTTGTTAGGTGCCGTTGAGTCGGTTCTGACTCACAGTAACCCCATGTACAACAGAAAGAAACACTGCCCCCAGTCCTGTGCAATCCTCATAATTGAAGTTATGCTAGGAGGCTAGAAGTGTGAATTCAGGGCGCTCGCTCTAAGGGAAGGCTTTCTCTCTCTGTTGGCTCTCGAGGAAGGTCCTTGTCTCTTTTGAGCTTCTGCTCCTGGGTGATCTTCACATGGCTTGGCATCTCTCTTCCCCCATCTCTGCTTCTCTTGCTTGCTTAATCTCTTTTATATCTTAAAAGACATTGATTTAAGACATACCCTACACTAATCCTGTCTCATTAACATAACAAAGAACCCATTCCCAAATGGGATTATAACTGCAGGCAGAGGTTAGGATTTACAACACATATTTTTGGGGGACACAATTCAATCCATAATAAAGGCTAAAAAATGTATACTTTCATGTATCCATAAAAGTGTAAACAGTAAAAAGTAAATCTCTCCCTCTTATCCCAATCTTCAATTCTCTTCTCCAGGGGCAACCACTGTTACCAGTTTCTTACACATCCTTGCAGAGACAGACTAAGCATGATTAGGCTTTCATGTATATATACATCATTGCCATTTTTACTTGTCAATATACCTTGTAGACCATTACATATCAGCACATTAGAGCTGTCTATTCTTTTAAGCATTAATAGTCTACTGTAGGAATATGCCATAATTTATTTAACCAGTCCCTCAGAGAAGTATACTTAGTTTTCTTCCCAGTCTTTTGTTACTATAAACAATGTTGCAAATAAACAAGGTTTTCTTTTACTATCAAAATTCCTTATGAGTCCAGTGTAAATGTTTATTTGTGATTACTTAAATGGAAGTCATTACTCTAGAACGTCTTGGGAGTGGCAGAGCAATAGGCAACAGGAAAGGATATCAGTCATTTTTCTAAGTAATGGGTATACAACTCTCAACAATATAACTAAGCTTAAAGGTCTGATAAAAATTCCTATGATTCATAAGCAACAGGAAGATTTATTTAAGAAACTAGATAAAAATGGAGTCTTTCAAGGTTTAAAATAAAAGATAAACTTTATATGTAGAATAATTTTTCTGATAGGGAAAGAACTCATATATGATCAATTAATGTTAGGGAAAGAACTCATATATGATCAATTATGTTTTTCCAAAGGGATTTTTTTTTCTTCTCAAACCTTATTTCAGAAATTTCAAAAATACAATATTTGAAAAAAATATATAACATTTGAGCCAGAAATATCATGAAGGGAAAAAGATTTTTCTCTTCATCTCTCAGTGAAATCTGAGACCACAATAAATAAACTATATCAACTGCTCTTTGACTTTAATACAAAATTTTAGAAAGTTGTTCCAAAAACCAAATGTGAAAGCTGGAGCTGGCCTGGTTGATTTCTGGCACTTCAGAGAGATCTGACTAGGTAATTATGTGCGCTGTTCTGTGCACAAAACATCACAATTTAAAAATAAACTGTTGACTTCTGCTTCCAGCCAACAGGGACCAAATTTATATTCCCATTTAAAACAGCTAAAACACTGGGAAAAATACATGAAACAATGCTTTTCAACACTGGACAACATACAACAAAGGACAGTGATCCCTGAGAGATGCAAACAAACAAGGCAAGCCCTGTAATTGCCCCATCTTACTGCCCTGATAGAGTTTCCAGGCCACAGCAAGTAGGGGGAAGCTAGATGAAGTCTGACAGATGCCCTGAGTTGAAGGACAGAGATAAGAATCTAGGGAAAACAAAGAAGCAAGAGTTCATAGGGCAGAGTACTGGACAGGTGACTGCTGCACAGACAAAGAATTCTTGAGGTCTGTAGAGAGTCCTCCTCAAGTGTATTCAGCAGAGTACTGATTCGTGCCTGCGTGTGAAGAAACTACCTGAGGCTGAGGAAAGAATCATCCAAAGGGACTAGAGGAAATAGTACCACAAGCTCACAAAGGGCCAGAATAATGCTTGTTCCCACAGCCAGACTGGAAAACCTTAAAATTCAGAGGGCATGGTGTATAGTACTCTGAAGGGTTTTGACTCATTAGTGGGGAATAATTAGCCCTAAACTAAACACTACTCAGTCCCACCTAACAAATCATAAAAGCAAGACCCAAAAGAATCAAATTGTTTCCAAGTTAACTATATTCCAGAACAAAGTTCAAGAATATTTATAGGAGTACAAAAATACCTAGCACCCAAAAAGGTAAAATTCACATATCTGGCATCTAATCAAAAATTGCCAGGTATACAAAGCAGCAGAAAAATACAACCCATAATAAAGAGAAAAATCAATCAAAAACAACCCAGAACTGACAGAGATGTTACAATTAGCAGACAAGAAAATTAAAAGTTATTGTAACTGTATTCCACATATTAAAAAAAAAAACTAGAGGGAAGAGCACACATTACAGACATGGAAGAATATTTTAAAAAAACTCAAATCAAACTTGTAGACAGGCAATCTATAATATCTGAGATGAAATATACACTGGAGGAGAATGGTAAGTTAGACATTGCAGAAGAAAAGATAAGTGAATTTGAAAAGACATAGCAATATTAACTGCCTAAATGCAATGCTACCCATTGCTGTTGAGTCAATTCCAACTCATAGTGACTGTACAGGACAGAGTACAACTGCCCCACAGGGTTTCCAAGGAGTGGCTAGTATATTTGAACTGCTGATCTTTTGGTTAGCAGCCGTGCTCCCAGGGGTCCAAATGACCCATGAAGAAAGACTAAAAAACCAAAAAAAAAAAAAAAAAAGGGAAGAAAAAAACAGAATCAGTGAGCACTCTGAGACAATTTCAAGTGGCCAAATATATGTGTAATTGGAGTTCCAGAAGGAGAGGGGCAGAAAAAATATTTGAGAAGATAATGGCTGAAGTTTTTCCAAATTTGATGACACTGTCAACCAATCCAAGAAGCTCAATCAACCCCAAGCACAAGAAACATGAAGGAAAATACTCTAAGCCACAACATAATCAAATTCTTAAAATCAGTGATAAAGAAAAAAATCTTGAAAGTAGTTAGCGAAAAGAACCACATTACCTATACAGGAAAAAAGATAAGGATAACAGCAAGTTTCTCATAGGAAATAATGCAAGCAAGATGACAGTGGCACAACATAAAAAATCAAAGTATGGAAAGGAAAAAAATACCGTCAATCTAGAATTCTATATCCAGCAAAAATATCTTTGAAAAATGATGTTTAGACTTTCAAGAAAATCTTATGAAATCTACAAAAAAGCTACCAGAACAAATAAGTTTAGCCAAGTTGCAGGATAAAAGATCAATATACAAAAAGCTACTGTATTTCTATATACTAGCAACAATCAGAAATTGAAATAAAAGAATACCACTGAGAATAGCATCAAAAATATGAAACACTTAGGGACAAATCTAATGAAAGATATGCAACACTGACAACTACAAACAATTGCTGAGAGAAATTAAAGAGCATCTAAATAAATGCAGAAACACACTGTGCTTGCTGATGGATTAGAAGACTCTATACGGTTAAGAAGTCAACTCTCCTCAAATTGATCTATTTATTCAATGCAATCCCAATCAAAATCCTTGCAAGTTTTTTGTAGAAATTGACAAGCTTATTTGAAAATTCATATTGAAATGAAAGACCTAGAACAGCCAGAACAACTTTGAAAAAGAGCAAAGTTAGAACACTAACACTACCGAATTTTAAGACTTATTACACAGTTACATTAATCAAGGCAGTGTGGCATTGGCATGAAGACAAACAGATCAAAGCAACAGAATAGAGTCCAGAAATAGACCTACATGCATTTGAACAACTGATTTTCGACAAAGGTGCAGAGGCAATTTAGTGAAGGAATTATAGTCTTTTCAACGAATTGTGCTGGAACAATTGGGATAGCCTTATCAAAAAAAAAAAAACTTTTTTCTGATCCATATCTCACACTGTATATAAAAATTAACACAAAATGGATCACAGGCTGAAAATATAAAAGTTTTAGAAGAAAACATTTGTGATCTTGGGCTAGGCAAAGATTTCTTAGATATAACACTAAAATCACCAATTCATAAATTGGACCTTATCAAAATTAAAAACTTCTGCTCTTTGAAAGATATTCTTAAAAGAATGAAAAGACAAACTAGAGAATGGGAGAAAACTATTTGCAAATCGTATCTGATAAAGGACATGCATCCAGAATATATAAAGAACTCTCAAAATTCAGCAATACAAGAAGACCTTAATAGGGAAATCAGCAAAAGATTTGAATGCACACTTCACCCAGGTATACAGATGGCAAATGAACATATGAAAAGATGCTCACATCATTAGTCAGTAGGGAAATGCAAATTAAAACCACAATAAGATCCCAACATACATATTAGAATGGCTGAAATTTAAAAAACTGACCATACAAACTAAGTATTGGCAAGCATGTGGAACAACCAGAACTCTCGTACAAAAAGACTTGTCCATTCATGTTTACAGCAGCTTATTTTAATAGCCAAAAACTGGAAACAATACAAATGTCCATCAACAGGTGAATGGATAAACAGGCTATGGTATATTTGTACAATGGACAGTATTCAGCAATAAAAATGAATGAACTATTCATACAAGCTACCGCATGGATAAATCTCAAAATAATTATGCTAAATGAACAAAGCCAGACAAAAAAAGAATATATATGATTTCATTTATAAAAATTCTAGAAAATCCAAAGTATTCATTGTATAGTGACTAAAAGCAGGCAAGTAGTTGCCTGGGTACTACGGGGAGGGGTGGGAAGAAGGTTTTACAATGGAGCACAAGGTAACTTTTCGGGGGTAATGGATTTGTTCATTATCTTGATTGTGGTGATAGTTTTTATGGGTGTATACATATGTCAAAACCTATCAAATTGTACACTTTAAATATGTGTAGTTTGTTGCATTTCAGTTATAAATTGTCCTAAATGCTTGATTCTTATTTTGTAAAATAATGAGCTTTACTAGCTTATCTTTAAATTTCCTCCAGGTTTTATATTCAAGGATTCATACATTACTCCTAAATATATATAGAGGATAAGTGTAGACATAAGGAGAAAAAAAGAATAAAAGGTAAATGTTTGATTCTAGACTCAAGTCATGCACGAATCTACTTATAGCAAAAGTAGAGTGTCAAAACAAAGACACATCCCACATTTTATACACTTTAGGGTACAAAAATAAAAATATCTTTAACCAGTAAGCAGTAAATTCAAAGTAGTAAATAACAAAAACTCTCATACTTAACTATAATAGAGTATTTTTGTGCTTTTCAAAGTGTATTCATCTACAGTTAGGTGTGCTTTCTGTATGCTCTCAAATCCCAGTTGATTCTGTAATGTTCTGAAAAAACATATGTGTAAGTCACTAATATGTATATTTCTATAAGGCTTTTTACACTGTTATGATGGTTTTATAATGCTTTTAAACACCTATGTATAAGTCACTTATAATGTCAAGTTAGAAATAGAGACTTTCTGAACACAGAAACAGACTCTTTAACCATTAACTGTAAGTTGTTAGACAGTTGTTCTAACCTTGGAAATAGATAACAGAAGTATGTGAAGTAGGTGATAAATAACTTTCTGAAACTGGACTGTGCACTTGCACTCTGTGATAATGGAATGTAACAATAATCTTATTTCTATAAATTAACAAAACATAAATATGTCACTAAGCAGTTCCCTTAATTTTTAATTAACTTGACCTTGAAACGTGCAGTAAACAAGAATATAAATTTGTCATGTAACAATTCCCTACTTGGCAATAAAACATAATATAAATTAACAAAACATAAATATGTCATGCAACAATTCTTTAACTGGCAATAAAACATACCAGTTATAGGCGAACACGACAGCACATAGGGTATATAAACCCATGGATTTCTACTCATTTTCTGAAGAAGACAGAAGCAAAAAGTCTGACTCCCTGTCTGATGACTCAGAAGCTTGCTGAGATACTGCTGTCCACAACCGACCTCACACCCCAGCTACGGGGGACCTCCTCTGAGTTTGAAGGGTGGTCAAGTCTCCTCCCTGAGGCCACTTATTAAAGGTAAAAGCCCGAAGTCTAAAGATTTGGACTCTAACATTTAAACGAATATCATAATTGTTAATTCTGATTCTCCAACGCTAAATAAATGTTTTGAGGTCTTACTTGCGTGCCTTGCCATGACTACCTTCCAATAAACTAATCGAGTTTATGCATGACAAACCTGAGCATTTCTTTACTCTTTTTTTCATCCAAACATCTATACATTCCTTTATTCACAGAACCAGATGATGCTTCTGTTACTAAAAATACATATCCAAAGCTTTTATATCCTTTTCAATAGATTTAACATTTTAGCTCTTTGGGGGAGGACGGGGAAGTCCAAACCACTCAGGCCAGCTTCCTTACGTTATTAAAGATGACTGACTTTATGACACAGCCTGTTTCAGCTTAGATGTCAAAGTTTATGAATATATGAATGAAGAGAATTCTGGTCCACATGCCTAAGGTAAGTCATCTTTTTCTACATGAGAATTTGTGTAAGCCAAGGAGCATCCACTGTAGTAACCTTCCTGTGATCCAGGTCTGGATGCCACACTCCATGTCTGATTTAGACATTCTCTTCCAACCTGATTTGGTTTAGTTTCTTCAGGAGTTATATTCAGTAGATTGCTTGAACTTTTTTGTGATTTTGGTTCACTAACTCGACCTCACAATGTGGAAATCCTATGTTCAGATACACAGGAACGTGTCTGGCAAAAGTCTGAAGTAGAAGGAGAAGCAGGAAGAGATTTAGTAAGCTCAGATGTGCAAACTGGAGACCCGTTAAACACACTGTGCGGCTTCTTTTGCCGTGGCCTCGAGTGTACTGTTAAGATTGTCCCAATCAGAACCTGTTCTTGAGAAGGCACTGAAAAGTTTCACATTTTCTGAGTTCTGGTGGTCAAAGGTAGTCATGTTTAAAAACTGTTGCTTTAACCAACTGGCTCTTTTTCTTCAAATGCCTTTCTCTCCAATCCCAGGTGAATAGTGGCTTCTGTAAAGCTTCATCTTTCTCTCTCAAAATTCTTTTTTTCCTCTTTAAGTAAAGACCACTCTTCGAGGCGTTCCCTTTCTTCCAACAAATAACAGTCTTGTAGTAGAGAAGTGGTATCATCATCACATGCAGTGGCAAGCTGCTGCTATAAAAGTTGCTGCTGAGTTTTAATCATTTCTTTACACCGCTGAATTTCTAACTCGAGTTTTTCAGTTTCTTGTTCATGGTCTTGTCGTGAAATTACATCTTTGTCATTAAAACCTTCTAAGTGTACCTCTGAAACTTGGTTATCAAGTTTTTCTACATGACTTTTCAAAATTCTCCACTGTTTTCTGATGCTATTGGTAAGCTGCTCTCTCACAGTTTCACAGGAAAGGTCCCACATACTCTCTCTGCTCAGTTCCCCAACATCTTCTTCAACATCAGAAATAACAGTTCCTGTACTATCATCAGCTCTTTCTCTAGGTTTCTGCGTTTGGGGAGAAAGAAGAGAAATCATTTTCTTTTTCATTTGCTGTAAAACCTTCTTAAGTTCAGCGTTTTCCAATAGGATTTGTTTCTGACAATATTCATAATCATTCAAGAG